TACAACCTCATTATAACTTAAAAATAAATTATGTCACATCTTGATATAGACATGGAAGTAACCTCTGCAAGCTTAAGATTTTGCAAGCCCAAACTCAGGGAGATTATTATGAAGGTGGCTAATATGGAGCCCATTCTTGGCTCCTATCGGAGAAGTTGTTGTCCATGTATGCAGACGTGTCTCAAAAGGACGCGGCGAGGTTGCTCATGTTGTTCATGGAGCCCTTGAGGTTGTTGGTGTCGGCGTAGGTGGTGTAGGGCACACCCTCTTGTGCGTCTTCTTGGGAAAACAATTTCTCGGTAGTTAAGGAAACAAATTATCTTCAAAAGGAGTTTCCCTGCCATTTACTAGTTCGCCTTGTCTCCTTATGAAAATGCTACAATCAGATCTTGTTTGCTTCCCATGGAGTGGGAGTTTGCTTCTATCTAATCTACACAAAATTTAGTTTTAGATGGTTTTCTTTTAAACACAACAAATTTAGGCTTTCAACTATCCAAGCTTGAGCATCCACGTTTAATGAAATTTGCTGCAATGTTTGTTCTCAATGCAAACACTTTATGATTCCATCGACGGAAAATTGAGCTCCTTGGTTAATGAAATTTTCTTTAGTTTAGTAGAATTAGCATTGTATGCATTGAAGACAACAAATTTATGCTCTTGGTTGTAACATATATTTGCGCATCTTGTGACAACATGTTATATTGCTTCAAAAAGCATTAGGAAATTGTTTCCATGGACTAGAGAACTTGCTTCAAACGAAGGAGTAACTTGTTTCCATCAAGAAGATTATTTTTTCTTTCAACATTGCACATGATTCGAACAAACTAGGATGAGTTTCCAATGAAATAAAATTTGCATCTATCGAAAGGATAATTTGCTTTCATGAACAAGCAGCACAAATATGTAATTACATTTTCATTGCTTACGTTAATTGTTTTCTACTTGGGTAGGTGGTGTATCTCCTCAAGGTGGGGGCAGTGAGCAGAGCACTCGTGACAACAATCACGTCGTGTGGCTACATGAGTTTCTCAATCGCGAAAGCTCTGCGCATCTTGCATCGATGGAGCGTCAATGGAAGGAGACTGGGGGCGATGAAGTGCGGTAGCTGCCAATGGGGCACCTCAATGTGTCCATTTCCAACAAGTGATGGGGTGCAAGGGATATAATCTCGGTGGTGGGGTGGATGGAGAGATCAGAATGAAGTGGATTAGAAGACGAGATGAAGGGAATCAAATCTGGAGCGCCAATGGAGAGCACAGGAGCATCGTAGGTGGATGATGTGTTGAGCATTGAGGTGGGTCGCAAGCAGGAGAGGGGAACTAAGGTGAGAAATTTAGTTCGGGGAGCGGAAATAAGCAAGATTAGTGTGATCATGTAGACATGGTTGCATCACAAAGGAAGGTTTGAACAAGGCAAGCGATTCCTTGGTATATCTCTGGCGTCAGATGAAAGCTAAATCAATGGCGCACGAGTGGTCTGATGATTTATTTGTGTAGGACTACTGCTAGGAAGTGTCTGTCATGGTAGAATCATACGATGGAACCGTTATTCTGGTGGGAGTGCCCTTTTGGTTCTGAGGAGCATGATGAATAGTAAATTCAAAATAAATAGCAAATAAGGTTTAAAATTTCTTTTTTTGTGTGTGGATGTTCAATAAATACAACAACAAGAACAACAGACAACAAAGCCTTTAGTCCCGAACAAGTTGGGATAGGTTAGAGCTTAAATTCATAAGATCTCGCAACCAACTCATGGTTCTGGCACATGGATAGCAAGCTTCTACACACCCCCCGTCCATGGCTAGTTCTTTGGTGATACTCCGGTCCTCCAGATCTCTCTTTTTAGACTCCTCGCATATCAAGTTCGGCCTACCCCAACCTCTCTTAGACATTATCAGCACACTTTTTAGTCGTTCGCTATGCACTGGAGGTTCTGTAAGCCTGCGCTGAATATACCCAAACCATCTCAAGATGATGTTGGACAAACTTCTATTCAATCGGCGCTACCCAACTCTATCTCATATATCATCATTCCGAACCTGGTCCTTCCTTGTGTGGCTACACATTCATCTCAACATGCGCATCTACACTACATCAAATTGTTGAACATGTCGCCTTTTAGTCAGCCAACACTCAGCGTCATATAACATTACGGGTCGAATTACCGTCCTATAGAACCTGCCGTTTTAATATGACAAGTGTGCTTGACAATTTTCATGGAAAACGAGACAACAATGCTTTGTCGGTAAAAAAACAAAATTAAGTGTAACATTTTAAGGTCACATTTGGCGTTTAATTTATTTTTTTGAACGGGTCAAAATATTAAGTTTTTCATTAAAAAATTCAGGTAGCATTTGGGTGTGACAATGAATACATCTAAATTTTTTTCTAAAAAAAATCGCATTTGCAGAAGGTACTTTGGACGGACAGGAGCATACGCTTCAAGAGCCGAATTGGATATCTGTATTGTGGTGACCAAATATGAGTTGGATCACTTAACTGATGTTAATGAATAATGATGGAGATGAAGCGTTGACAAGCCTCGTGTAAGAAAAGCTGGTACTGTCACAAGAAGAATACACAGGGTATGGAGACAAAGCGTGGTTGCATGCCCACCTCTCTCTTCCCGGATGGGAAGGAGCAAGAATTGGAGGAGACCGGACGGGCTGTGTTGTGGAGCCACTATTATGTACTCTAAAACTCTTCTTCTTTATTAATGAATGAGGCAAGTCTTTTGTCTTTGTTTAAAAAAAAAGAATTGGAGGAGACTTTGGGAAAGCAAAAGGAAAAGAAAGGGTGGGTTTCATGTTTCTAGGCTGCTTCTCTTCTTCTTACATGTGTGGGGGCAGAGGCACTGTTTTTGCCGCCTTTACAAGCCAAGCAAATACACACACGAAGTGTAGTACTAGGTGCCATGGAGCCGCAGCCGTCCGTAGGGTTAGTGTGGCATCCCAAGGAAGGAACCCGCGAGCGGAGCAATTTCTTGGGTTTGGAGAATGCTAGATCTTCCCATCATCGTCTCAGTCCCATCCTTGTCCGTGATACAGAAGCACGTTTGACATTTAGAAATCACTATACGTGCTAGTACTGTAGATTAGAAGCAAGCAACGTTCCTTGCTGTAGATTCATGCACCTCTGGTCCTGGAATCCCGAAACGAGGGTGCGAACGGAACGGTGGTCTAGTTACACCGAGACGCATGCATGGCATGCATATCCAAGGAGGCTGCGGCCTGCTGGTTGCTTCGTTGCAGCCATCGTGTCTTCCGGTTCCTGTCGAGAAGGAAGGAACAAGACGCAGTCCATGCATGTAGCCCGGAACGTGAATGTAATGTACACGTCTGTTCCTTCAGAAATCGTGTGCAGGTTCACGTGCTCTCGGCGTCCGTTCCGTGCATGCATAAACTGGGCTGGCCGTTAGATGAAATTGCACAAGGATTGCAGGGTTCAGTGTCTCCTTGCAGATGCCATCATGGTCCTCGCGGAGTAGTACAAGCTTCCCTCCCTCCAGAAACAGAAACAGAGCATTTCGCTCGTCTCCAAGCAAGCAGTCAAGATCCGCGAATCCTACGCATGGCATTTCATCATTGCGCTCGCGAGCCTCTGCAGGGGGGATGCGGTTTTGTCATCAGTTAAAGTGCACCACCAACACCAAGGAGGCCAAAAATAAAAACATAAATGGAACGGAACTCCCCTTTCATAGCATAAGATACCACTAGAAATTTTTCCGACGGGCATCATGGCCGTGGCCCCCCGCAGCGCGGCCTCAGATGCACGCTAGGCAAAGCTCTCCTCCTCACCTCGGATTCGCTGCTAATGCTGACGGCAGGGCACAGCACAGGCCACGCAGCTTTTGGTGCTTAAACTAACTTTCCTAATTATAACGAGATTAAAGGCTTAAAGCCAAGCAAAGGTCAGACTAAACAAATCTTTCCGACCCCCTTTTCCTCCTCAGGGCGTCCGTCAAAGCTAGTGTAGCTTTGGGCCCTTTTCCCCCTCGCTTCGCCTCGCACACAGACGCAGAGGTGGGGGATGGGGTCGGAGATAAACAGGAGGAAGTAAACGAAAGGCGCAACAAAAGAAAGCAAAACGAGCATGAAGATAAACAAAGGAGCCGTAAACAAAGCCGAAAGAAATGGGCGCAGCGCGGTTCCCCGAGCAGCCGAGACCCCTTCCTCACAAGAGAATCACACGCAGATCTTTGTCCACACCACCCACATCGTACGTAGTACTACCATTGCTCTTGTGCAATTTCCGGCCCTGCCTCCACCCAGCACCGGCTCATCACCCATCATGGCGCCGCGGAAGGAGCGCCTTTTCAGCTTTCCCGAGATCCAAACCTTCCGTTTCCCCTCTGCTTTGCTTGGCACAAGCAAGAAGAGAACAGCTTCCTTTTAGACGAGACGAAAGAGCCAAGAAGTTTAACATGTCGTACGCCAAATTCTTGCACGCACAAGAGGCCCAAGTTTAACATGTCGTACGTGTAAGTGTGCGTGTGCACATATTCAAGCGACAGTTAGACGGGGCCATGGAAATGGAAGCAATGATACACCATGATTCATGCTCTGTGTCAATAGGCTAGGAGTGTACTAGGAGTGAAGTGCCTAACTACACACACGGAAGGTCGTGTTACAAATCTCTTGTACAAGACGAAAAGATGAATATGGAACAGAAAAAACGGACGAAAGTAGGACTAAACTGGCACAACTCCACGACGCTTGTACATGTGGGAGGTGGCGAAAAGAGCCTAAAAGGAGCTCTTTCGGCCTTTCCCCACGCCTAAACTACTTAGAAAAGAACTCACTCACACACAAAGAAGATCTCGCTAGCTTCCTAAACCACCGCCCGCTCTTCAAATTTTAACTATTTTTTGTACTTCGTCTTCCATTGCTTCCTTTGCGAAATTCAGCGCGAAACTTCGGCCTCGCTTCCTCCGCGATTCCGAAGCGAAATGGTGGCAAAGCATCCGAACCCACTGGGGAAAATAGCTTTTGAGGGTGCAATTTACGTTCCTGGGTCACTCCGGGACCGCAGCAGCGACGAGTCGCGCTCCGACATGGACGCTGCACAGAGCAAAGTGAAACGCACGTCAGAATGGCTTCATCAACCAACGAGTTCACGGAGGCAAGGAACGAAGCCAGCGGTCACGCACCACGGTGGATCGACTCCTTGCAGTGCGCGATGGCGCCTGCGATGCCGTCCTGCTGCTCCAGGAGCGAGTCGTCCCGGCGAGCTGGCGACGACGACTGCGCCGCGGACACCGAGCGGCTCTTCCGCAGCCGGACGTCCACGGAAGCAGCAGCGCCGGGCGCCACCCTCCGCAACCGCCTCGAGATCTTGCTCAGGCACCGCCTGATCACGTCGGCCGAGGGCGCCCTCCTGGCTTCCTCCTGGCCTTGGTCCGGCGAGCCGTGCGCGTACGCGGCGAACAGCCTTGCTGAGCGCGTGCTGTTGGAGCTCCGGGAGAAGCTGGCGCGGCCGCCGTAGAAGGCGGCCTTGGCGGATCCGAAGCTGAGAGTGCGCAACTTCCCGCGCCTGCTGGTGCTGAACCGTGCCGCGGTGTCGCCGGGCTCGGACGCGCAGAATTTGGCCGGCGGGGGCGCTCCCCCCCACCCGCAGCGGCTGAAGGAGAGGCGCTCGTCGTAGGACGGCGACGCGGAGCAGCTCCGCTGCAGCAGGATGACGAAGTCGACCTCGCCGGCGCAGGAGGAGTCCTCGGACTCGGAGCTCGACTCGGCGCTGGACGCGGGCGCGGAGGCGGAGGCGGAGGCGGAGCAGCACGACAGGTCGAGGTCGAAGAACGGGCCCTCGTCCTCGCCGTAGCCGTACCCGCACGGGTTGGCCGGCGCCGTCGCGCTCGCTCTGATCGTGGACACGGCGCGGCGGCGGAAACGCCGCGCCGCGAGCAGGCGGAGGATGTGCATGAGCGCGCTCCCGTGCCTCGCTTTGGACGTGCGTGTGAGTGTGCGTGCGGCTTTGGCGTTTGCGTGGGTGGTGGACTGGTGGTGGTGGTGGTGGTGGTGGTGGCGGCTTTTAAACGGGCGCGGCAAAGGCAGACGTGTGTGAGATTGAAAGAATGGCTCGTGGTTTGCAGTAGAGAGTTTTCAAGGCTGAAATGTCATGGTATTGCGCGTTTCCGGTGATGAAAAACAGGAATGCCGGTCTTCAGAATGACCAAACCACAAGTCGGTGAGGCTCACAGCGAACTCTGCGTGGCCCGGGTCTGGTGCTAGTCTTTTCTTTGTGTGTGTGTGTGACGCTAGTAGTTGTGGAGAAGCATATCAGATTGTCAATGTCCCGGATTTTACTTTTGTCTCATCCTCACCCACCCGATATCCAGAGGATGCATGTGGCGTACCATTCTGCACCGTTCATCATGTTGCATTACCGACTAGCTAAGCAAAGTCCGAAAATAAATAAACTATAAACAAATGTGATGTACACTGCGGTTGTGGGATACATATATATTTTGTCAGTCGTTTCGATCCTTTCTCGCTTGCAAAAGAATAAGTAACACTTTCTCTTTGGGGGAAAGGGCGATCCGGCGATGTACGTTTCGTGTTTATAACTCGTCGCCTCATGATCGATACTGATGGCTGGTGACACAAAGTTGAAGTTGATGCTAACCAGGGCACTATCCATACAAAAATGACAACTGCGGTAAGGTCCTCGCTTTCTTGAAAAAAAATCATGGCTGGTAGTACGATTTCAAGTGATATTTTTTGGTTCGTGGCCCCTGGGGGACGTAGCATGTCCTATGCAATGCATGGAAAGAGAAGAGACGCGAGAGCCCTCCCATCAGGTCCCGGGGCCAGCCAAAGTTGCAAGGCCACACCGCACATACAAGATCCATAAAAAGAGTAAAACATCTGCTCTACCACAGAATTTCAATTTTGTTGCGGTGGAGTGGGCAGCGAAAAAATGGCCTGCTGCTGCGTTCGATGGGAATTGACGGGCGGGCACCAGCCACCAGGTGAGGGGCGCTGCAGTGCAGGCGCAGCTGCAGACGAAGCGGAGCACGCACTTGACTAGATGAGATGATGTGTCCAAGCCCATGGCGCAAGCTTTTACAGCCTTTTCCGCCTGCGGTCTTCTTCCCTTCCCTCTCCGTCTCCTCTCGTCTGGTCCAGCCCATCTACAGTGCATCGGGTCAAAAACTGCAATTATTCGGCTTGACCGACCCGGGCCACTCGTGGAAGCGCCGGAGCGGTACAGTACAAGTCTAGACCCCGGGGTCCGTCGTGAACTGGACGTACGACCGTGTACAACCACCCTCTATATGCTTCAAGCGCTTTCAGGGCATCTCCAACTGCAGCCGCAAATTTCTGCCCCGTCCGTCTACGTAAATTGAAATTCAAATTCAAATGTACTCTGGTCCACACAACGCACCGGATCACACGAGCGCCGGATCGCATGCCGAATCTCAACCAAAAAGAGTCAAATATGTTTAGTTTTTACATGTCCGAATTCAAAAGAACATCAGTCCGGCAGCCCGTGCATTTCTGCGTTGCCGGACCGGCAATCCTGCTCCTCGATCAAGGAGGTGTCGTCTCCGCCGCGTAGGCAGCCTCTGCCTCCGCGCTCGCATCCGCGTTCGCGTATGCCTCCGCCGCGTCCTCATTCTTCGTCGCCGCCAACTGATCTTTTTGCCGATGCAACATCTTGTAGCAAACGAATTGCACGATGATTCTTGCATTGGCATCCAGAGTCCACATTCAAGATCATCATCTTGGCGTCCCCTGCATTGGCCGCGATTTCAACTTCTCTTCCTCACGTGCGGCCTTCCTCTCTTCGATCATCGTCCTCCTCTTTTCGAGCTTGAGTTTCTTGTCTGTCGCCCCCATCAACATTTTGAACCTCTCCCCTTCTTCTCCTCCTTGATGTTTGAGCGCCTCACGCATGCCTCCTCCTTCTTCACGAAGGTGTCCTCGAACCTTTCCGTTAGCTTGGCCGCCGCACCTTCTCGCTTCACCCTTTCCGCCTCCCACTTCTTCCCTCATAAATTCCGTCTAACTTTCTTCGACAATGATGAGATGCTTCAAGTGCCCGCAATACTTGGACACAGCCTCTTGGATGGTGCACCATCGATGGATGGGGGACTTCCATTCACGGTTGCGGATGACCGCGTCGGAGTAGGTCGCGAAATGCTTGTATTCATGGAACCATATGTGAATGTTCCTCCAAAAGGTTGTGCCCTTTTGCTCCGTGCCATGGATCGGATCAATGCTAGTGGCCAACCATGCATCGCACAACAACTTGTCCTCCCGCATGTTGAAGCTTTCTCCTCTACGCTTCTTCTTCGGATCACCGGTTGTATCATCTGGATCATCGTCGTCGCCCTCCTCCTCCTCCCCTCTGGCTACTGCTCTCCGGTGGCCCGATGATGTTCTTGTTGTGTGTCATCGCCTGTCTGGGTGTAGGACTCCTACGTGGGTGCCTGGGTGTAGGACTGCTGCTGCTGGTAGTTGCCGGACTAGGTGGGATCCGAGTCTTCCACCTGCCCATCCTAATAGCCCCCTCATCCTCCCTCGTCTCCGTCGTGGATGATGTCGAGCATCTCTCTGTCCGCGTCATACGCCGGGTTCCCCGCTCTAGGCATTGCAGTAAACAACGTGCAGGCACCCATCTGGTCCCCGGCCGCTGTCCGCGCTCGGACGAGTTACGACGAAGAGTACTCGAAGAAGAGCGGCGCTGCGTTAACCTCGACGATGTAAGGCACCGTACCGACAGGGGTTCCGAGCTGCTTGGCGGTGTTGTAGTACGGAGGCTTCTAAGGCTCCGGCCACGGTGCCATCTGTAATGTGGGCGCGCTCGTCTGGCGGCTACCGGCACGGCCGCGCAGACCGCTTCGTCTGCCATGACCGCTTCTCCTCCTTTGCGACCTTCGCTTTGACGCGACGAGTTTGGCGCATCGTCGAGCTGATCTTCCGAGCGGTGTGATGCTTGGATCCTCCGGCACCTCCGTCAGCTACATCTCCGATAGGTTTTCTGACGGTTCCATGCCTCGACGGCGGAAGGAAGAAAATGGCAGGAGAAAAGAGCGGGAATTGGGCGAAGAGCGGCGGGGAATGGAAGAAGCGAGTGGGAGATTTTGGAGCGGAAGCGGTGTGGGATGCTACAAAAGCGCGGGCTCAGCCTCGGCAGAGAGCGACATTTCGCATGCCCAGACTGCCGCAACCCCCCTCCCCCATGTTTGTCTCCAGATTGCGAGAGGAAACACATCTGGACCACGCGACGGACCGATACAGGATCATGTTGGATGCCTTCCGTAGTCCGGACACCGCTGACCGGACGTATGCGGGAGGTTTGCGGGTTGGCGTTGGAGATGCCCTTAGTGACTGTCTATTTGAATGTGGCCTGGGTGGACTTGAGTTTTTGGAAGATCATTTTACATGAAGACATGGTGGTATCTGGTTGAGATGAAATCGGGCGGCAGGCAATGAGGAAAGGTGAACAAAGCTTCCACTGGCGGCGGTTGTTCACAAGCACCATGTGCACTCTGATCATCGTCCGCTGCTTTGGGACATGGAGTATTATGATGGATCTCAGTTTAGGAAATCATCCTGCAAAAAGTTTGATGCCTGCTGGTTACGTGAAGAAGCAATGAACGAAATCATTAATGTGGCATGGGAAAAAGCAAAGTTAGCTGGTCTGGGGCCGTCCTTGGTTGATAGGATGAACGTGGTACATGCAGATTTGCACCAATGGGACAAAGATATCATTCAAATATTTCAGTTGTTCCGGTGTATCATCTATCTCTTCAACAATCCTTTCCAACCGCATTTTTCTCTTCACTGGGCTCATGACCCACAAGTGTAGGGGATCTATTATAGTCCTTTCGATAAGTAAGAGTGTCGAACCCAACGAGGAGCAGAAGGAAATGATAAGCGGTTTTCAGTAAGGTTTTCTCTGCAAGCACTGAAATTGTAGGTGATAGATAGTTTTGTGATAAGATAAATTGTAACGAGTAACAAGTAAATAAAGTAAATAAAGTGCAGCAAGGTGGCCCAATCCTTTATGTAGCAAAGGATAAGCCTGGACAATTTCTTATAATGAGAAAGGAGCTCCCGAGGACACATGGGAATTATCGTCAAGCTAGTTTTCATCACGTTCATATGATTCGCGTTCGGTACTTTGATAATTTGATATGTGGGTGGACCGGTGCTTGGGTACTGCCCTTACTTGGACAAGCATCCCACTTATGATTAACCCCTATTGCAAGCATCCGCAACTACAAAAGAAGTATTAAGGTAAACCTAACCACATCATTAAACATATGGATTCAAATCAGCCCCTTACGAAGCAACGCATAAACTAGGGTTTAAGCTTCTGCCACTCTAGCAACCCATCATCTACTTATTACTTCCCAATGCCTTCCTCTAGGCCCAAATAATGGTGAAGTGTCATGTAGTCAACGTTCACATAACATCACTAGAGGAAAAGACAACATACATCTCATCAAAATATCGAACGAATACCAAATTCACATGACTACTAATAGCAAGACTTCACCCATGTCCTCAGGAACAAACGTAACTACTCACAAAGCATATTCATGTTCATAATCAGAGGAGTAATAATATGCATTAAGGATCTGAACATATGATCTTCCACCAAGTAAACCAATTAGCATCAACTACAAGGAGTAATCAACACTACTAGCAACCCACAAGTACCAATTTGTGGTTTTGATACAAGATTGGATACAAGAGATGAACTAGGGTTTTGAGAGGAGATGGTGCTGGTGAAGATGTTGATGGAGATTGACCCCCTCCCGATGAGAGCATCGTTGGTGATGACGTTGGTGATGATTTCCCCCTCCCGGAGGGAAGTGTCCCTGGCAGAACAGCTCCGCCGGAGCCCTAGATTGGTTCTGCCAAGGTTCCGCCTCGTGGCGGCGGAGTTTCGCCCCGTAAGCTTGCTC